ACTCAAAGTGAAAATTTTGATTTGGCTATCATCACCAAAAAAAAAAAAAGAAAATAAATAAATGTACATAACGTAGTAGTTTAAGTTTTGAGCATTGACAGTGCCAAAAATATTTACTCCTTCTGATCAATTTAAACGATGATTGTAGTTCATTCTATTAAGTATCACTTATTGGTGAATATCTAAAATAGATTGTAAATAACCTGATATAATATATCAAATTACACTAAAAGGAAATCGATGCATGAATACTTTTGTGTTCATGCAGTTTGAGAGAATATTATAAAAGAAATTCATTATGTTGTCGATATATATAACTTAATTCCTATATAAAAAGGATAAAATTAAAATCGAAGAGTGAAGCAAATATACTAATGAATGAGGGAAGAAAATTATCATAATTTATAAATTTATTGCATAAAATAACCTCAGTAACAAAAAATATATTGTAATACTTTTATTTATACTAATTATTTATAAATTAAACAATAATAATAATAATAATAATAATAATAATAATAATAATAATAATAATAATAATAATAATAATAATAATAATAATAATAATTTAAAATAAATTTGGGGCCTCCAAATTTTGGGGGCCTAAGACAACGGCCCCACAACCCAAAGCTTTAGAGCCGCCCCTGGTGGGACTACACTGGGTTTGTTGTTGTAGTTGCTTATTATAGAGTAAAACAACTGAGTGCTAGATGCAGTTCGAGCATTTAAACATCAAGATTGCCTAAGCAATGGATTATTTCATCAAGCACAAATTAGATGACTTAGGGTGTGACTTGAACGATACAAACTAGTAGAATTGTGTTTTTATAAAACTCAATACCAGCTTGTTAAAAGATTAGATTGAACTAGCAGTTGTAGCAGATCTGAGCCATCTTTTGTAACAAGATTTCATTTGATTTTGATAGTTTCTCATGGAACTACTGAGACTACATTGTTAGCAGCTGATATAGATCAATCAATCAATCAACTATGCCTTAGTCCCAAGCTAGTAGGAGAACGTTGATAATATAGATTTTTTTTAAAAAAAAACCATCAAACTTAAAAGTCAACAAGTAAGAAAAACCACACATCATTGGTAGAAAGAATTGTCAAAACAGTTCCAGAGGATTCACTCTTTTCAAGTTACCATCAGAATGCTTGATATTGTGAGTTCTAGGCTAATGGGCTGAAAGCTTTTAGCATTATAGTTTTGTAATTTCGATTTCGTGATGAAAGAGAGAACGGCTAATATTCACATCCGCAAAGCAAGATTGCAGTTTTCACAGAAAGGTATTAATGATGCAGACTCACCCATTGAGGCCATCCAGTTATAGAATAGTATTCTGGCTTGAATAAAGGACCAGGATCACATTGAAGCCAACCAGTAGATAGATCCTGCATATACATTGTTATGTAAGTAATTATCAAGAATGGTAGCCAAAAAATTCTTCAAAGATAAAGTTCTCACCTTTCTTGGACATGTCAACCATTGGAAACGGCCGAGGACATTTGCAAACTGCATACAAGCTGAAAATTTCAATTACAAAATTCACATTTTGAAGGTGCTTCACATAAAACTTTTCTGTGTATGCCCTTCTAGAAAGAGGAGGGAAGATCGAGTAACAAGCCAAATACCACCTAAAAGAATCAAAATATTTCCATCTCAACTAGAGGCGGAGCCAGGAGCCAGGATTTCAACCTTATGGATTCTGTTAGAACGACGACTTCAAGTGCTAATGACTGGGTTCTAAATTTAATATTTGTTCATATTTAATAAATTTCTTAACACAAAATATGCTATTTGAGCAAAAGTTACTGGGTTCGGCCGAACCCGTAGCTCGGCTTCTGCCTCCGCCCCTGGATTCTCAACCAAGTATATCTACAACTATAAGCCGTGGCATAAGAACAGAACAAGATCAAGTCCCTCCTCTATTATTAAGTCTTGGATACAATGACAAAACTACTTCCATCTAAACCAAGTGTAAAAAATACAATCAGTTGACAAAAAGAGCAGGAGATTAGGAAGATCGAAAACTGGAAGTCCTGAAAAGGTGCCACTGACCAAGAAAGCTGTTATGATGGTGGCAATAGATGCTCCAATGAAGCCTTCCCATGTCTTCTTTGGAGAAAGCTTGATCAAAGGTGTCTTCCCAAAGAAGAAACCAAAGAAATAAGCTGCTACATCATTCATAGCTATAAGTGATGCTGGAAGAAGAAACCTGCAACAGTAGAATTAAATGTCGATGCACTCTACGGTAAAGAAAGCGACCTAACTCCACGATAGTTAAGATCATCTCTGACCAACAATTTGCTAGTTCTTTGAATATGTATCCACAAGCCTTAAAAGATGATTCTCTTTAATATTCCCAACTTACCACTAACGGACAGGGAAGCATATTTTTAATCGAATTTTGTTGCCATAGCTTAAGGTGCAAATTTAGATTACATGGTAGATGAAGCAGTTCTTGCATTACGGAAATCAAGTGGAATACGATGAAAATACTTAAGTTGCCACAATCTCCTCTGTGGGATAGAGCTCCAAAGATACAATTTCGAGATGTTCGTAACTCTTAGATAAGATAAAGTGCAGACAAAATTATGCATTCATTAGCATTTTTGAAAAGGAAACTCAGACAGTAAAAGAAACATCTATCTAGGGGAGGTTTAGGCATTTCTTTCATTGTATGGTTCATAAGGCTATGCCGTATAATATCTATAATTCAATGATTAACCAAAAGAAGCATTTAATTAATGCATCAACAGGAGTAGAAATTTTTAGAAAATCACATATTAACTTCCTGAAAACTTATATTACCAGAAAATGCCTTCAAATATGTTGGCTACAGTAAAAGAGGATTGAGTGAAGACCACAAATAGAATCATGTGCGTCCATGCATACTGACCAAATTGATACTTGTATGTCCTCTTCTTTAGTGTTAGTATGAACCACACAAGTCCTGTAAATACAAATGATCATCACATAATTAACATTTTGTTAAAAAGCTTGCGATTCAAAAAAAGGGCAGCCCGGTGCACTAAGCTCCCGCTATGTGCGGGTTCCGGGGAAGGGCTGGACCACAAGGGTCTATTGTACGCAGCCTTACCCTGCATTTCTACAAGAGGCTGTTTCCACGGCTTGAACCCGTGACCTCCTGGTCACATGACATCAACTTTACCAGTTACGCCAAGGCTCCCCTTCGAATAGGTAGTTAAACGTTAACTGATCAAAGCATCAAAAGTCACATAGTGATATAAATGATAAATTGACCATACCTGAAATATACAGAAAGTAGCAAAAGACCATCTGATACTTGATGACCTTGCCTACTAGCTTATATGAGAATTCATCTGAAGTTACAGTGTTTACAAGCTGTTGGCTGAGTATGCGTCCATACACAAACAACATGCCTGTGAAGAAAAAGTACCTGAACAATATAAAATGCATACTTCAGTTATATTTCCATTTTGAGTAGCTGCAATCAAAGTTACATACAGGGGAATTCTTACCAATTTAGTAGCCTAAATCCAGGTAGGCATCTATCTTCATCAGGTCTTCTAAGTAGATTGAATAGCTCGAAGGTCATGATTATTTGAATGACAACGACCATCGCACAAATATACAGATGACCCAAGTATAGAATGATGATGATGCTTATAAGCATCCATAGAGAAGAATACGTTCGAATCCACATTGATCTATATTTGTTTTGTTCATCTACTTTGCTTAGCTCAGGAAATATCTGACATGAACAAAATTAAAATTAACCACGTTCAACTTCTCTAGCCAAACAACCACAAATTGTAGCAGAATAAAACTCATTATCTTCCATCTAATATGCTTAACAGATAAAATCAGCAGCGGGATCAGAGGCAGAGGCGGAGCTAGTATTTCAAAGCTTATGGATTCAAAATTCTAAGCATTTTAAGTTACTAGGTTCTAAATTATTAAGGCGTAAACAATCAATGAATTGTTCAAGAGAAATACAGGGCCTGAACCAAAACTACTGGGTTCGCCGAATCCGTAGCCAGAATACTGGCTCCGCCAATGATCAGAGGAACATAAAATTCATTGGACTTTTTTTGTCCACGTCACCTTAAGGTGATGGTGCAAAACTATGCACCGTTAGCATAGATAAGTTAAAGAAATTCCTGATTCAAGTAATAGTATTCAGTAGGAACAAAATTCAAGCAAATTTATAGTAATAAAAAGATGAAATTAAGAAGTTGCTATACCACCTCCTGCGTCCGTCTACGGCGGATTCGGGTAGGTGTTGATGGTGACGAAGGGATGAGATGATCCTGCATTTTTAATATTGCTTCTGCCTTCCCCAAACAAATTAAGATAATTAACGATCAATCAAGAAAATTAAACCAGACGAGATAAAGAAGAAGCTGTAACGCATGCAGATGTGTTACGTTCGATCAACAAACCAACAGTGGTAGCTGTGGAATGTAATGAACAATGGCGATCTCATCTCTCGCTAAGCTCAAATTTTCACGAAAATATAGTTTGTTTCTGAAAACTTTGTCCGCTTCAATTGCCTGTTAAGTTTTTCTATCGCCACGTGTAGTCCCTATAGTTAGCTAGGAAGAAAAGAATAGAAACTTATAATATAAGTGTTTATTTCACGTATGATTATTAAGTGTCATCCATTATTATAAAAGTACAAATTTCACTAAAATTTGTATCATATTATTTATCTATCTATATCTATATCTATATCTATATCTATCTATATTATTATAAAAGCATAAATACAATATTAGTTTACAAAAATAACCTTATAATATTAAGCATAATAACTTATAGTAAAAGAATATAACCGAAATTCTAGACATTAGCTTTGTAATCCTATTAATTTTAGGATATAATACTACACGTTAGGAATCCTTCGCGATGAATCCCACGTAACCTATGAGCATTAAGTTGGCACAATTAAAAAAATTTAGTAGTTACACGCCAAATATTTCAAAGAATAATATTCTATAATTTCGGACTTCACAAATATAGTTAGAATATAAAAATTAAATTGATGTTTATGCATTAGTTTATTTCTTAAGCATTTAAAACATGAAAATAAAAACACGTCAAAGAAAAGTGCTCTAATTTGATTGAAATATATATACATATATAGGACATATCTCTTATTCGGGTAATTTGAAGTTCCTATTAGTAATTTAATTTGAAAACTTATTATAATGTCTCATTACTTATATAATTTGATAATGTATTATATTGTTCAAATTTATATAGAAAAAAAGAGTCTATATCTATCTATATCTTTTATATATTATTATAGCACGAATATAATATTAATTGACCAAAATAACCATAAAATATTAAACAGAAGTACACATAGGGAAAGGACATAACTGCAATAACCTATTTTTTGAATTACAATATCTTATATGTTAATTTTTTTAATATTTAAGATTTGAAAATTAGTAAAATTTTGTCTATTATATTCTTATTAAAAATATGTAGGAATAAGAAAATTAATTTCATAAGGATCTCCGTACTGGAAACACATTCCCACTTCATAATTTCCAATACCAAAAAAAGATAAAAGTAATGTTAAATTGATTGCATAAAACGTTAAAATTGAGAAAAATAAATTCCCACAATGTATTTTTATATTATATTTGAACTATTTTCTTACTCAAATAATATTTTTTCTTATCAATTTTCGTGTAATATTGAAAAATATATCAGTTATACAACAACTGAGAAATATTTAAGAATGTTTAAGAAAGAGAAAGTAAAATAATTCGTAAGAGTCAATAGCAGTAATGATTCTGCAAATATAAAGATCTAAGAGTGAAATGTTAGATCGTTCTTTTTACTTTTTGAAAATAAAATTTATGATGGATAAAATTATAATTAAGATTAAATATTCAAAAGAAGAGATGAACTAATATTAAGAATCTAATTAACATAAAATAAATTATTTCTTATGTTAAGACCAAATAATTAAATCTTTCAATTAATTATTTAACAAGAGAATCAATTCAATTATTTTTAAATTCATCATATGAGTAAAATTATTTTTCAAGTTAAAAAAAATCTTAGGGTACAGAAATTTATTCCATAAAAAGAGCGTTAGAGATTAAAAAAACTAGATCACAAAGTAAAAAAGGTTAGCATAGTATTAGGAATCAAATAGTCATACAAGTATATCTGGGGAAGCACAATCAAAACTAAATCTTAAACAAGAACAAGCTTTCAAGACTATATTATAAAGAGTCGACTCGACTCTGGTATAGGGAGATTATCCTTTGTAGATGCCTCCGACAGAATCGAAATAATTTTTCTATGTCGTCTATTACTTGCAAATATCATACCAACATGCCTGATACTGTTAGCAATAATAACAAGTGGTGTACCAACAAGGAGTATGAGGTCACTCACTTTGGACTTGATATACCTCTTCAAACAACTGAAATAAACATCACAAATATAACAAAGCAGACAAATGGTGTTAAATTAAAAGGAAAGCATAATTGATAATATGGGATGAAGCGCTTATGGCTAAGTGTCAAATGATCGAAACAATGCCCGGAGTTCTAGAGATATATTAAATATCAATGAACCGTTTGGTGAAAACTAATGATTTGGACGGTGATTTCTGTCAAGTACTACCAGTAGTTCCAAAATCGACGAAAGAAGAGACTGTACTACCTTGCCAAAATTATACTTATGGAATCAAATGAAAAAGATTCAATTGACAAGAAATATAAAGTAAAAATGAATCCAATATTCGGTAACTTCTTGCTTCGTGGCGGAAACAAAGAAGAGCATCCAATTAAAGATGAATTGGTTCTTCTAGAACACTTAGTTATCAACCCTAATGTAATGGTAGTGTATTTAATAAAGGAAATATGTCCATCATTAGATTAAAACGCAATTTGTGCAAATTGCATGATAGAAATTAAAAAGTTATTTTAGCTAGCAAAAATGAATATGTTGGTCAACTAAATAAAAAGGTTGATTGCGAAGTTTTATGGTAAAAATAAAGTATTTTTTAGTTTTTGACTCAACAGAAAATGATACCAACAATTACTACCAAGAAGAATACTTAAATACTTTAATACCAAATGGCCTTCTACCATACAAGTTTGTTGTCAAGTTTATTTTTCCTTATCTATGTTAATGTCACCGTATATATAATAGATTACGTTAAAATTAATTTTTCATTGCATATAGATTGATTTTAAAGAAAAATATGCCCGTCATGCTACTGAAAAAGTTAGATCTGCCGAATAGCTTATGTAATAGCACACAGATGATATTTAAAAGTTTTGACAATAACGTCATACATTTAAAAGTTATTGTCACACCTCCTTTTTCCGCACCCGATGGGGTGCAAGAGAATTTTTACCAATTAAAGGACAATCGAAACGGGATTGGTTTAATTATTTCAGAGTCGCCACTTGGAAGATT